GAATTTCATCTGCTACTATGCTGCCCATTCACTTAGCTTTATTAAATTTCTCTGTAATTCCCCAGTCTTCTAGAGTCTTGACTAGTCTAAAATGTTTTTGCATTGGATGTAAATTTTGTCATCTTGTTGTCTGCCTCACTTTCCAGATGATTAAAAAAGATTCCTGTATCGTTACTAGTATAGAACCTTGGGATGCTTTACTATTAATCTTTTGATATGCTGAAAATAGATCCTTTATTCCCATTTTCTGTCTTTTGGACAGTATCTGATCTACTTTACCTTTCACCCCGTAATTACTTATTTTCTTTGATTTCTTCTTCTCAGAGACTTTGTCAGAGGCTTTCTGAATATCCAGATAGATTAGCAGCTCACACTCCTTTATCTGCTCTTTTGCTGATGAACTCAAAGAATCCTAGTAGATGAAACATGTTATGTAGCCTATGTGAGGGGGACAACCCAGCACAAATTCATACAGATATTTTGTAATTCTATTCTTAAGTATAATTTTACCTGATGTGCCTGGCTCTGAAGTAAGGCTCACTGCTTTGTATGGCACCTTTTTAAAAATAAGTATCATTCACACTCATCTCTGGGCACTTCTGAAAGGCCCAAGGTGATGAGTGTGATATTTGACTGTCTCATTGTTTGGGTGGCCAGCTCTGACTTACCCTCTTTTCCAGTGCCCTTTGATGTTCAGAAGTACTACAACATGGGTACTCCAGTAACAGGTTATGAAGGAGACTGTCTAGCACCTGTTGATCGAAGATGCTGGTGGAGAATGTTGAGCAACTCAGCTCGAAGTCACATCAAATTAGTTCACCTTTAGAGCTGTATTCCTTCCAAAATGGCCACAGTACGGTATCCTCTCTTAGCCCCACCTCCCTCTGTCTGTTCTTACACAGGAAAGAGGCATTACCTATTCCCTTCAGCAGAAAGGCAGTCTCACCTAGAGTCAGGGAATATGAGCAGGAGCATCATGGCTTTGACATCTGGGATTCTCACACATTACTTATCTAGTGTACAATCTAACACTTCACTTCAATGACTACTCATGATAGTAAAAGTTAAGCACATGACTAAGTGTTTGCAGGACTTGTGCCTTATACTGAAAGTGCTAACTTAATATAAAGATGCCACGTGATAAGGAAAGCTACTATAATTTTAGCTGTAAAGTCTATGATTTTTTTATAAATGCCATACCACATAATTTCTTACAGTAAAAAGGCATTTATTATAACAGGTTTATAAATATTTGCATATATTATTATCAGACAATTAACCAAGTCCACTAGAACATCAACAATGCAATTAGTATAAAACAAATATTACAAAGCAATGTTTTAGGGCATGCATGGATTATAAAATAGTCCTGTTGGTGAAAATAATTTCATTATTTGTTCAGTTTTATCTTTCTGCAAATTCCAATGCATTAACATAAAAGTTTATTTTTAAGAACTTCTGTCTAGGTATTTGACAACCAAACCTCAATGAGCCTATTCCTCCACTCTCACCAAACAAAGTACTCAATGACTTCAAATGGGAGCTGGAAAGGAGTGGAGGACTGGGCTCAAGATAGACAATGAAGAGCATGCTTAATATTAAATACTGTAGTTACATGTTTCATGTGAATATCAATTATTTAGACTAAAATTTCATTTTTAGCACAAACATTGTACAAAATTAAAATTTAATGCTGACATAAGATACATTCTTTACTGTTCATATAATACTGAACAAACTGGCAAGAGCTAGCATACTTTTACAGTCTTAATCACGCAAAAAGGTTGAAGCTAACCAGACCTCAGAATGCACTAACCAGAAATACTGAGTACAACCAGACATTTGTCCTAATCTAAACAGAACTGATGATACTTAATATATGGGAACAAAAATTTCCATCTTTAGTCAAGGCTGGAAACATCTTTAGGGTGTAATCCTGGCCCTACTGAAATCAATATGTATTTTGCCCTTGATTTTCTTTCAGTAAACATGGTACTATTTTCAGATTTGAAAAAAATCAATGGTAGCTGTATTTTTTATTACTACTTTAACATCAGATGTGAAATCAGAAAAAAAGAAATCAATGCTGTATATAATACCACTCGCTCTAGTATTGCCAGGGTGTAGTCGTCCATACAGTTGCTTAAAGAAATTCATTGTTGATAATATAAAGGTTGATATTCCTAGATTTTAATGTGGCATCTACATTTCACCTCCAATTCTACTGATTTTATATACATCAATATTCTCTTATCCCCAAACTTCTTTTTTCCTTCACAGTGGAAAAAAAACCCTTGAAAATAAGATAAAAAGGGTTAAGGAATCTGTGCTGCAAAGTGGTTTGTTTTACTGTACTCTCCAGAGCATGCTCCCAATTACTTTTCATTCTAAAACCATCTTACTGGATTCTCTGATTTCTACAAAACCAAAAAGCCTAAAGCAAAATTACTTTACTTCAACATTAATTTTGACAGGGAAGTTGCTTTCATTTTTTATTTTTCTAACCTTTGTATAGAAGAGCATTACAATGAAAAGATGCAAGAATATTTGTATTCTTTTCCACAGAATCAAAGACTTCTTTATCTATTCATGTAATGTTTCCATTTTCAGAATCTGAAATACCTTGCATTATTGAACCTGAATGATCTAAAGCGTAAAGAGTCTATGAAACTGCCTTAGGATTCACCCCTACACACAGTGATTACTGTGCATAGTTTTTATCGTGAGTAGCCACGGAGGTCAAATGGGAGTTGCAGCTGCTCAGCACTTTAGAAAAATCTGACTAATTTAGGAGTGTAAATATGGATTTGGGGCAGTAACTTTAGATTTCAAGTTTAAAAAAATTGGCTAAAGTTAATAGCTAACTGCTGCTGTAGATCATTCTTAAAATATTCTCAACATCAGGTTAACAGATTTAGAATCCTAAAACCAAAGACCTGTCAGAAGTATCCACACAGAAGCTGGACATATTTTAATGGTGTATCAGATCCTAATGCAACTCTGATACAACACAGCAGAAATGCCACTAACACAATGAGATTAAATTAGGGTAAATCCATGATCTACAATGAAAGCCCTTGAGCAGATACAGAGCTGAGTTCCACCCTGATACTCAAGCATATAGAGCTGTGTTCCCTGTGAAATGACTAGTATGCTTCTCATGGCCAGTAGCTGATTTGTCAAGATCCTGTACCGGTGATGTGTTTCCATATTTCAAAGGGCAGATTCAAGCCTTTAGGGTCAAATTCTGAATTTATGTGAATATGTATTTTAGCGAAGAATGTGGTCTTTAGTCTGCATCAGCCTGGATAGAATCTACATAAAAGCTGAAATTTCTTTAGGGTCAGATTTTGCCTCTCTTATACATATTGAGTAGTTTAATTAACGTGAGTAAGGGTGACACAATCCAGTCTTAAGTAAACACCTCAAACACTTAAGAGAAAGCAGTAAGCATAAGAAATAATTAACCTCCTCCTTAGTGTTTAAACATTATCTAATGATTATACTAAATCAGGGGTTCTCAAACTGGGGGTTGTGACCCTTCAGGGGGTCGCGAGGTTATTTTGTGGGGGGTCGCTGTCAGCTTCCACCCCCAAATCATGCTTTGCCTCCAGTATTTATAATAGTGTTAAACATAAAAAAAGTGTTTTTAATTTATAAGGGGGGGGGAGTCACACTCAGAGGTTTGCTGTGTGAAAGGGGGCACCAACGCAAAAGTTTGAGAACCACTGTACTAAATAAATCAGTTTACCCATTTTATTCTAAAAATACTTACTGATGCTTGCATTCCGCATTGTGTAGCATGTGAGTAGACTGCTTGTCTATACATTATAAGATTAGGGTGTAAATGGATGTTGTTGATTGTATCCATGCAGAATGTATACGTTTATAATATTTAGGTTTTATTTAGTTAACTTTGTTTACTCCAGCTGATCCAGGTTCTAGACTGGGGTAGGC